TGTACTTACATATTAGTGGTGTACTTACATATTCGTTGTGTAGTGTCGCGTCTCATACTTACATATTCGTGGGTAACGTCCCGTACTTACAAATTTAGCGTGCTGTACTCACTTATTATTCTGGTCACTAACACTTACTATCACTATCTAACTTGTTATATATAGGCTCTTCCGATGTTGCTCAGTATGTTCAAATTTGAAGTGTGAGAGTATTTGCTATTTTTGTATTTGTTCAAATTTGAAGTGGGGGAGTATTTGCTATTTTTGTATCTAATTTAATGACCAGTTCTTTACTGATATTTTTTTTATATCACTTGCAATGTGTATTTGATGCTGCTTATTTTTTTTTGAATCTCCACCTTCCTGTAATGTTCTGTGTTATTTGCATAAATACACAATTTTACAATGGAACAATTTCGTTCGTTTGTATATTGTAATGTCCCACATCGGTTGGAGAGGGGAACGAAGCATGCCTTATAAGGGTGTGGATACCTCTTCTAGTGTGAGGCCTTTTGTGGGGTGTCCCAAGAAACAAAACCGTGAGCTCGACGGTGCTTGTGCGCGGGGCAAAGCGGACAATATCATGCTACAGGTTTGGGGCTGTTACATTTGGTATCAGAGCCTGGCCCTGGACCGGTGTGTACAGCGGGGACGCTGTATTCCCAGTGGGGGAGGATGTAATGTCCCACATCGGTTGGAGAGTGGAACGAAGCATGCTCTTCTAGTGTGAGGCCTTTTGTGGGGTGTCCCAAGAAACAAAACCGTGAGCTCAATGGTGCTTGTGCGCGGGGCAAAGCGGACAATATCATGCTACAGGGTTTGGGGTTGTTACATATATTATAATGGTTCTAAAAATAACGGTGTAGGCGAGTTCGAAGGGGAAAAAAGAGCAATGTATATTGTCCGAGGCTTGTCCATTGAAGATCTACTTCAGAAGATTCGTCAGAAGTTGAAGTTGCAAGAAAATCAGGTAATATCTTCAGTTACCGGTCGAGTCCCATGTGGAAATAAAAAATATGTAGGTTTTGAAATAACTGATGATGAGGACATTGACATTTTTCTTGGAACATTTGTCCAAAACTCTACTACGTCTCAATTTGTTGAGTTATACGGGGATATTGAGATATCAGAGGACATGTCAACACCAACATGTGGGCTGGACCTTAATAGTCATACACAAATGCCTTCATCATCGGTACCCCAGCCCACACAGTCAACTATTGTGCATGGAGAAGAAAGTGACTATATGCTAGACGTTGAACCTGACAATGAAGAGGAAGAGGAAGATGAAGACACTCTATTGGTAAACGACCATGATCAAAATGATAGTGATCCAGGTGATGATGAACATCATGATAATCCAATAACAAACCACACTGCTATTCATATGTCCAATATTGTTGTTGTTCCACCATCATCAGGTTAACTAATACAATCGGTTGTATTATTAATATTTTTTGGGTACCATTTTTACCCTTTTTTGTAGAGGTGACACCATTTTGGGATGCGATCCCACACTATGAGGCTGTTAATTTGGATTACCCGAACGAAGACATACTGGATGTTAAAGGCTTAGGTCGTGGTCCGTGGACAAGAGAAGACGAAGTGTATGTGAAATAAGAGTTCGGGTCAAAAAGCGATGTCCAAGCCGCTATAAATATTACTGCATGAATGAACATCAAGAAGTTGTAGTGGTTGAGAGTACTACGATGATGTTGTATATGAAATGTCGTAAGCATGAAGAAGGCCGCAATTGGCGAGTTAGGGCAATTAAACCGAAGCATAGCAACAACTGGGCAGTAAATGGGTTGGAAAACATTCTTGCGTCAGCACAACCTTACACAGATACAAAAAAATCCAGCCAACAGGTAAAAAATGCAACACCCATACCGGTGGTTTCGTCACTAAGCGGAAAGGAGGAAAGATGGCAACCACACACTTTGCTCCGCCGGTTGGTGACTAGAGAGGTGCCAACGGACTGCAGACGGAAACTTAGGATCCCAAAAATTTGCTTCCAACCACTGACTTTCGAAAATGGAAGAAATGACCGACTGAAGTGAGAAGAAGAGGGGAGGACACGAGGGAGGCATAAGTGATCAGGAAGGAGTTAGGAAAGCAACGACTCTCCTTGAATACCGTCACCAAGGCTCACAGGACACTGGCCACATGGTGCCAGTCTCGTCAAGTGACCTGGCGGGTGTTGGACGCGTCAATTATGATGACGGCACATTGGAGGACTCGTTGTTTTTCATGATGTGATTCTGGCACAATCCGACGTGGCCTCTGATGCCGTCTTGTTCAGTGATGGGACTGATCCCGTCAGTCAAACCAACGGGTTTGACTGCTCTACTTCGGCCATTCTTTCCAAATCTATTTCATTCCGGCGATACATTTATAAAATAGTTGTAGTACTGTCGTTTTGCCCTTATCATCATCTCCGATAAAAGCTAACTTTTAAACTCCAGTTCGATGCAAAAACTTAAATGAGTATGTGTCATCACCAGTGTTATTAAACCCGACCCGGGCATCCACCCGGTCGGGGTACTGGGTTACTGGTCGGACCGGTTGACCCGGATATATATATAGATATATAAAAATATATATAAATATGAACATATAAATTCAATTATATTCTCGATATCTAAAATGAATTAAACAAGTTTCATTAAATAAGCTAAAAAATAAGAAACATAAATAAATAAAAATGCATGCTATTACTATATCGATTTAAATTGCAACTCAGAATCCCCATAAACATACCTCTCAATGACATTGAACTCATATTTTTCAAATTTAACTATATTAAAAAGGAAATATGTCACATTCTCTTAATTTTTTATTCCACAAATTGCTTCAGTATTAGAAGCTGAAATTTGAGGTCATTGTAGAAAAGTATACTAGCAAATAAAATTACAAAAAAAATTTAAAATGAGTTCTACATTTTTTTGACAAGATGAAACAATTTTTGTTTTTTTGTTTTTTAAATACATGACCCGACCGGGTCACTGGATCACCGGATCACCGAGTTTGGCCAATTTTGTCCGGGTTTGACTGGGTCGATGCATGATCGGTCCAATACTTGACCCGAATTGATCCGATGACCGGTTCATCGAGTTCTGGGTCGACACAGGTCGAGCCGAATTTTACAAGTACAGTCATCATTGATTTCAAATTTTTTTATTTACTGTTTGTTTGTTAATATATTTCTATAACCTTTTTTACGTGTAAAATTAATCTCTTTCAGAGAAAAAGTAGGTTATTTTTACACTAACGTAATTATATTCATATTTAATCATTGATTCACATAATTAAAATTTAGATCCATAAAATATAAATGAAGTTAACGACCAAAATTGAAAATATAATTTATTATAGGGAAATTATTCTCTCATGTAATAGGATGTTGAGATATATAGTCCCACATTGGTTGAAGAGCAACTAATGTGGAGTTTATAAGGCCTTGGGCACTCCCACCCTTTGAGCTAGCTTTTGGGGTGGTCTATCCCAAGGTTCTTTGACATAGTATCAATGCTTGAGGTTCGATCCTCACCGCCCCCGACTTTAAAGTGGAAGCTCAAAAAGGTAAACCAAAGATTAGACCTGTTGCATAATCCACGCTTCAAGCCAAGAGGGTTCTTGCGTGAGGGGGCGTGTTGAGATATATAGTCCCATATTGGTTGAAGAGCAACTAATGTGGAGTTTATAAGGCCTTGGGCACTCCCACCCTTTGAGCTAGCTTTTGGGGTGGTGTATCCCAAGGTTCTTTGACATAGGAGAGAGTTATTTTATGTTGTAGATACATCGACAAACGTGCCTTTTATTTTTATTTTTTTATTTTTTCAACACTTGGTGAGACCCACCATGTGTTGGGTCTATGACATGAAAGAAGTATCTCCTACAACAAAAGATTAGATGCTCGCTTTATTATAATGTAAAATGATAGGTACGCAACCAATATAATTAAACCATGCATATAATTGACGCCTCCAAGCTTCAAACCTATTTTCTTAAATCTAACCTCTGCATTTACACCCTTCTAGGTGATTTCTTAAGAATTTGGGAGATTCATCATCATCCTATAATGTAAAGGGATCTCGAAAGTTATTATCTTTATGAAATATTTAATAAATATACTTCCCTAGAATGATGATATCATTGACCAACCAAGCCCCCCTCCATTCGACATCTTTGACATCCTCTGGACTAGGATATGAATTGAAAAACTATATATCTAGAAATATAGTTGTAAACCTGGATCTGAAAATGTTCACTGTTCAAATTTAGAAGATTCCGGTGCCAAGGATTCCTCTACTTCAAAGATTCGCTTTTATGGCAAGTTTAGATCCATGAGCTATGTGAGGCTGAACAATCCAAAGTGGCTTTGGTTTTTTATAATTATAAAAATATCACTCTTCTTATTTTTTTATTTTATTTTTTACATTTTATTAAGGAAATTTCAGAAAAATTAAAAACATGAAATAAATTAAAAAAAGGAAAAAATATTTCTTCAGTCACCGAAGATAAAGTTATCTCTAGTGAACTCAAAATGACACCATTTTAGGTTATAATATAACACTGCAATATATTAAAATTACAAAAACACCTTAATTTCTATCCGAAAATGACATTATTTTAAGTTCATCGGAAATAACTTATTTTTATAGACTGAAAAATCTTTTATCCTTTAAAAAATTAATTTTAATAAAATAAATCAATTAAAAATGAATAAAGAAAATAAGAATCTGCAATGCCAATTTGTTGTCAGAGACGCAACTCCTTCCTAGTGGCTTCCCTCAAAGCATTCAGACTTGGTTCATTCACTAAACTTTTTGCAGAGATAGGCTTTTTTTATTTGATTGAACATTTTTCCACATATCTTCACACATGGGCCAGTATATCACTACTTGGATAGACATGGCTGTTTATTTTGGATGTATTCCAAAGGCCAAACAGCAATTCAACGTTCCTATTCAGTGAAAGCTCTTCTAACCTTTCTTTTCTTTAATTTCCAATCATCCATTGATTCAGTGAGAGCCGAGAGGTAACGTTTACATAGGCCTTGTACTCAAATAGTGCCATAAAAAAGGATAAAAGAAAAATATGCATGCACCACACGCCTACGCTCAAACGTCCAGTCATCCATAAATATACGAAACTCGAGCACATGTGATGAATGCTTCACCTGCCATCTCCCTACACCTTTCACTGTGTCTCCTCCTCTCATATGTCATTTCGCTGGTTGCAAAAGAAAACTTAAATATGAATTAGCATACAGTTCATCACTTGGAAAAGACCATGAATAATTGATATCAAAGAATTAATAAGATCAATATGACAGTTTGAATAAGTTGCAGGTACAGTTCATAATAAGAACAAATGAAAAATGAAATGGTTGTTTCCATTGTACAGAATTACAGATTAAATAAAAATTGAAAGGCGGAGGCTCTCTATCTACATGGTTGTTGATGTCAAAACTAAAATTCCCAGTATTTTTTATGGAAAATTGGAGGCCTTTAAGATCCTACAATAGAAGGAAGACATGGAGCAAAGCAACTCCTCAACAATTACAATTGAAATTGCAAGATACATCTTTGATGGGGCTTATTGAAAAACACTGGACAGCAAGGTGTCAATGTTCTTCGTCTTCATTAAAATCAATTGTTGGAATAAAAATACTAAAAAGTATATATACAGGAGAGACTTGCACCTCAAACCCCATGTCAAGTCCTGGGATTTATTTGAGTTCTGTGATCTGATAAGTAGCTGATCTTGCCCTACAGATTTACAAATTGTTGATACAACCAGGTTAAAATCCACTGTCATTGGATGGTTCTAGTAAGCTTGCACTTGGAAATGAAGATTGTATCTGAATAATTTAAACTACACAACTTCAAAAGCTCAGCAGACTGTTGTTTTAATATAGGATTGCAACCGCTTTGAATCACAAGGAGGAGTTTTGCAGCAAGTCCCGCATCCACAGCAATCAAAGAGCACTCCTCAGGTGCAAGCTTGCACACAGACCACAATATTGACAATGCATATTGGGTGCAATTCTCTGAGACCCTCATCAACAATTTCACCATAATGGGTATGCTATTAGAACAATCCTTCAAAGCCAATCTGCCTTCTGGGATAGATGCCAATGCATCTAAAATGGAAAGGGCTAATTCCAAACAATCAGGACCCATACCAGAAAACAACTCAACCAACTGAGAAATAACCCCAATGCTCACTAGCAGATTCTTAACTTCTGTATGCATGCATAATGTTTTGAGGAGGCTTAGTCCAGGATAGAGTCCATTTGCGTGTCTCTTGTCCTTCACAAGCCTCATCAACCCAACCAAAAGGCTATGGCTTTTGAAAATCCCTGACCGAAAATCCTTCTTGTCAATCAATGATTCAATTAGCCGGGTGCAATTGATTTTCGTCTCAATTGAGCCCTCATTCAAAATGTCCACCATCAATGAAATTTTTGCAGGCTGCATAAGATTCTTTTTGGATTCAGAATCAAGGTTTAAACTCACAAGAACACCAATAACCTCTGAGCCAACAGCATGGGATGTAAAAGGACCAAGTAACGATGACATCACAGAGACTCCACCTTCATCAATCAATGCCTTGCGGGCAGTGGCATGAACAACCACTACTTGATGGAGCTCCTTGAGAGCCTGAACACGAGCTTGACCCTTCACCTTCTTCAGTGTCTCAAGAAGTTCTGAGGCCCTTCCGTGTACATCCTCCGATTTCTTCTTCATCAGCAAATACTTCTGAGAAAACCAAGTGTGTATTAGACGATAGAGGGTGGTATTTGGAGTGATGGAATCGTCCCAAAGCTCTTGCATCGTGGTGGGGCAAGTGAAGTACCCCAAACTGAACCATTTCAGAATGTTGGACCTCTCATAGGTTTGGCCCGTGCAAAGGGTCACAGGGTCTTGCATCGGCTCAAGGGAAATTGGGCAAATGAACACAGAGGGAACTTCAGACAAGTCTAACTCTTCAATCATCTTCCCAAGATCCAATTTTTCACCAACCCCAGTTCCCACAACTCCAGCATCCACACCACCCAAAACCCCATCTTTCACTGCCGTGTCCAGATCTAGAATCTGGCCATCACCACCGCCCTCGAACCCAGCGACCGCATCCCTCTTAGAAAGAGGCTGAAACATTCGCATTTTCCAAACCCCTTTGAGAAAAAGAAACTAACTTTGGAAAATTCAGGCTATAAGAATGAGCCAAAAAATCTCAGCGATGAGAAGCAACCTTCAATGGACATTACTCCCAGTACACTCATGGACAGTTTCCAAGTAATGAACTTGCTTTATTGTACAAATCGCTCTGTTCCTGTTCTGTCTTTAAAAAAAAAAAATTAAAAAAAGTTCTCTCTCAGCTTTATCTTATCTCTTTCGATGGTCAAACGAATCATTACCATTTGCCATCATATCTCACATCATAAACATATAACCAAGCTTCTCTCACTTGATGCTCAAGCTTCAAAATGAGGGGTTAAATCAGCAACCCTTTAGCAAAACAATAAAGAATCTAGACCAATCAAAGAGCAAACAGTGGAAACAGCACTAGCCTACAAACTACTAGTACTAACCACAAGGAGGAAATCAATGGCAGCAGAAATTTCTGACAAACAGTTGAAAGAGGCAAAATAATTGAAGTGCCAGATCAGGATAACATGGAAAATAATAAGAAGAGGGGTTGGAATTCAAAAGAGGTTGAAGTGATTGAACAAGAGGGACCGTACCACCATGGGGATGAGACAGTGGGAAGAAGGGAGTTGCAGAGAAAAGCCATTCCTGGCACTGCCAAACCCTCCTCCTCCTCTACAGAACTGAACTTGACTGACACCTTTTTTTTTTTGGGGGCAAATTCATGAAATCACCACTCATCCAAAATAATTTACAACCAAGTAAATTAATTTAGGTTAAAATTAATAAAATGAAGATGATAATTGATGCACGGTTCAATTTTTTTTCGTCAGGGGAAGTAAATTACTCAACCAGCAACCGAAGGTGAGGTGGGAAATGAGTTACAAACTTACAAATTACAATATCGAAGAAAGGAGTGAAGTTTAAGTTTTTTTTTTTTTTTTTCCGATAAATAAGTTTAAGTGTTTATTTTAAGTAAAAAGTGTTTATAATTTTAAAAGATACTAGCTTGTATTATTATAAAGTTAAATTATTATATTTTGATGATTTTTACTTTTCTCTTTCATAATATTTTTATTTTCTTCATCTTCTTAATTTTAAAAAATATATATATAATCATTAAACATGCATCAAAACATATTAATTTCATTTAAAATAACATTAACTTTGATTCTTTTAGATGACAAATATTTTTCTTTTATTTTAAAGTAAAAAAACTTATTTAAAACTTTTTATGAGAATTTTTTAAAACGAAAATCATTTTTTGATTTGAAAATTTTAAAATAATTTATTAAATTTTATATTTCTTTAAAAAGAATTACATTTGTTTAGCAAGGCATGTGACAATAATTAAGGAAAAATTAAATTATAAAGTGCGATTTTAGTCTAAAATATAACATTTTTTTGGTGTTTTGACCTTAAATAATATTTTAAGTAAAGATAACTCAAAATTAAGTGAAAAGTTAGTATAATTAAGAAAGAAAAGTAAAAAGTCCTAATTATAACAAATATTAATGAAAAATATAAACACCATGAAATGAAAAATTATTTAATCTTAATAATATTATAAATAAACAAAAAATTAAATTTAAATGAATAAATGATACAATTAAGACTCCATTTTAATAATTTTTTTAATAATATGTATGTTACGTGCAGTTCACATGATAATTCTTATTTTTTTTATACAACGACAATATTAAAATTTGAGCTTAATTCTCTTACAAATTATTTTAAACTTTTTAAAACTAGCACATTTGAATAATTCTATTTCTGTTTAATAGTTTACACTATAAATTGTAGTATAAAGTGTACATTCTAAAGTGATTTACATATTTTTGGATCATAAATTTTAATTCGTACATTAACCAAAACCAAATGATAAGAAATGTAATTTACTCTTCCAAAAATAAGTTAAATTAGTCCCTCGTTCCGCGCACTACACGTGCGGTCATCCCATCTGTCCCTGTAAACTCTAGCTTTTCTCTATTTACTCATCATTTACTTTATACTACGTTCTTTTACTCATCACTGATGTCCCTGTTCAATATCTTCTGTTTCATGTAATTCATGTTGATTTTCTTTGTTTTTTTATTATTTATCATGTTTTATAATGAATTTAATATCTTTCATATTATATGAGATAATTTTATCTCCTACACATACATAAAATTGTGTGAGACTCATTTTTTTTTTTTCTCTACTCTTTACATGGATCTTACAAATTTTTATTTGTGTATTTTCTATAACATAAACAACATCACACCCTTTTATAATAGTCATGTAACTATGTAAGTAACAATGGCATTAATTATGATCATCCATTTCAAGTTTCTCTCGTTCTTTTCCTTTCAATGGCATCTCTCATTATTCATATCATTTGGGGCTCAACAATAAGGAGTTTATGTTGGTACTTGACGGGGGAGTGGTTGTAAGCAAGTGTAAACTATAAATGAATATCTTTAATGCACGCATATGAAATACAGAGTCATAAATGATATCGTTATATTTATGATACATATATGTATAGGTATATGTATTCACAAAACTGATTAGTTAAAAAGACCCTAGAAAGCAATAAGAAACTTTTACAGCACGTATGCGCAGTGTTGTTTAAGGTTGGGTTGTTTAATTAGGAATATAATATTATATCTATCTTTTTTGTTCATTCTTATTTTATTTATTTCTATATACACCGTTAGCTTCACACTAAGAGAAGAAAGAGAAGAGGTGAAGGTCGGTTGAGATTATGATATAACAGTATGTATAGAAATATATAGAGTAACCAAACTCTTTTGGCATAGGTGGTAAGGAACCTGGGTCCCTTAACCAGAAGTCTCGAGTTCGAGCTCTCGGAATGGAAAAAAAGGATTTGAGAGAGCTGCCCCAAAAGAATCCGACAGTGCTCGATTAGGGATTAGTCTTCGGTTACAGCGGGAGGATACCCTTCAGATTACTTGAATATATAGAGTAGACATAAAAAAAAGATAAATATAATATCCTATCCTTTTTAATTAAGGTTGGGGTGTAAAATCTAGCATAAACAACTTTTTACTAGGGGATGCCTCTTTGAACAATAAATTAGAATAAAAGAGCAACTTTGAATTCTATTTTAAAAAAAAGGTTTTTAATTTTCAAAAAACTAAATAAAAAAATCTATTTGATAATGTTTGTTTTGCAAACGTATTTTTAAAAATTAGTGGTGGAACCATCCTTGAATCTCACTTTAAGCTAGGGATTCCATTCTTGAAACATTCAAAAATAAGGTAAGTGGCTTAACCTTAATCTTGGAAGAATTATAACTATTGACTTGTTGGTTTATAATAATTATGAGTTAACGATTGATTTTATCCACTTTGAATATGTGGATTCTTTGTACCTTAATTGCTTCTTGTTAATGGTATCAAAGATGTGGAACTTTGAGTTAGAGGAAAACAACTTTTAAAGTAAATCCTTGGAAAAAGTGTGGTAGAAATACCATTGGGTAAATTTAAAGAAAGGATGTCTTGTTTTGGAAAAGTTCAAGAGCTAAGGGTAAGTAGCCTAAGCTTGCCTGTTTTGAAAATAAAAATTATTCGTTTATGGATTCATGAGTTGCATGAATTATTAGTTGTTATGCTTCTTTTGATTAGGTTGTTAATTGGTGAAATTGGGTGATTATCAACTTGTTGAACAAAAGAGGATCTTTGGGAAGTTTGTCTTCAAGAGGCAAACTCTTGGGCCTTGAGATTAGTATCACTTGATGTTCCACCATCAGAGTTATGGTTAATTTATTAAATGGTTAATTGTTGAGTTATAGTATGGTATAACATACTTTCATATGGAAACATATAGATGTTGGTGTATGGACCAAAGAATAGTTATTGGAGGCCAAAATGCATGATTAGTTTATGGGCTAATATGAATTTGTACGGGTATAAATTGGATGTTAGTGTATTGATAAACGCATAGTTTATCATGTTTTAAAGGACTAAAAGCACTCTTATATCTTGTCAAAAGCATGAAAACTTGGAGTTATTTGGCTAAAAAATATTAACTTTGAATTATTAACTTATGTGAATGATTCTTGCTTGTTTTGAAGGACTTAAAGCGATAAATGTGGAGCAATGATTTAGTAAAAAAACTCATAGAAGCTGTCTTTCGGCCAATTTTTTGTATCCAAGATGATGGATTTGGATCTTGTGTTCTTCATTGAAGTTGTAGATCTCTCTTTTATCTTTCCAATAGATCGAGATCAAACCAATCAGACGAGTATAGCTCAAGTTAAACCCAAATTATGAAATCTTATTTTTGTTGTCAAAATAACGCATTTTAACGCTCTAATGCATGCAATCCTTTATGCCATAGCATATTTTAACGCGCTCCAACATGTTTTAACGCCCGATTGTGACTCAATTAAGTATCATTACGTGGTTTTCACCTAAAACAAATATTCATACATTTATTTACGCTATTCTTCATGAGTTTTGGATATCACTTGACACTGGAGGCATACTTTTCATTGGAGAAACACGTTCTTAATGCTTTTGAGAGCCAGAGACGATTCAGAGGCAATATTACACTGGAAACCTTGAAGATTCACTATACCATAACCCCAATGGAGTTTGAGAAAGCTTTCTTGTTTTCTTATGTTCTTGTTTCTACTATGTTATGTTAGTTTCCTTTGTCGTTAGGGCTAGATGGAACTCAATCAAATCTTTATGTTATGAATACTATTTAATGTCTAATTTCCTTTTTATATTGAATGAATTTATCTTTTCTTCATGCCTTCTATGTGTTTGATCTTGTAGATTGATCCAGGGTGGGTGTATGGCAATAGGGATATTCGTACATGAACCGTGTGTGGTAGATTCATCGTTAATTCTTATGATTCTAAGGATAGACATAGGAATAATACAATCTTTATGATTCTTGAAATTAATACTTATTTTTTTTGAATAACAACCTGGTAAATATGATTCATTAAAGAAAGTAAAGAATTAAGATGTCAATGGATTGAGTCTTAATTAACTTAGGGGAATCGATTGACGATGTGAAAAGGACGTTTGATTAAGGGTTTTAATTCATACCGTAAAAGGGAGGTTACGGGAAATTGAAACCCTAATTGTGTTTATTGTTTATCAATTAACTCGATTTTTGCTTTCTTGCATTATTATTTAAGTTAGTTTTCCTACAATTCTCTTGATCAATTGTCTAACTTAGGCGTAAATAGTGAATTAGTGGTTGAAATCTAATCCTCGTGAGAATGATACTCTTACTCGTATTACTTGTACGACCGGTGTATTTACCGAGTCTGCAACATGTATGGACTAATATTCAATCATAGGGATGTTTAATTGTGTATTAGTGTATGGATCAATATACAATAATATGGAGGTTAGTGTATAGACTAATATACATTATACAGAGGTTGAATTTGATGGTGGTGTATAGACTAACATTCAGGTAAATATGAGGTTAAATGATGTATTAGTGTGTGGACCAATATGGCAATATGCCACTAGATGGGGGCTAAATTGGATGTTATCGTATAGACCAATGATAACCTGGAGGATAAAATGTTTGGTTAGTATACTAACTAACGTACATTTGTATGGATTTGCAATTGTGTAATTAGCATACAGGCTAATATGCAATTGTATGCATAATATGATGTGCTTGTGCCAT